TCCAGTGAGCAGAGAGATCCCTGTTCTGCTGGGCCCGGGGATCTGCCCGGCTGGGATCCAGTGAGCAGAGAGATCCCTGTTCTGCAGGGCCTGGGGATCTGCCCGGCTGGGATCCAGTGAGCAGAGAGATCCCTGTCCTGCTGGGCCCGGAGATCTGCCCAGCTGGGATCCAGTGAGCAGAGAGATCCCTGTCCTGCAGGGCCTGGGGATCTGCCCGGCTGGTATCGGGTGAGCAGAGAGATCCCTGCCCTGCTGGGCCCAGGGATCTTCCCAGCTGGGATCTGGTGAGCAGAGAGATCCCTGCCCTGCTGGGCCCAGGGGATCTTCCCAGCTGGGATCTGGTGAGCAGAGAGATCCCTGTCCTGGTGGGCCTGACGATCTGCCTGGCTGGGATCTGGTGAGCAGAGAGATCCCTGTCCTGCTGGCCTGGGGATCTGTCAAGCTGGGATCCAGTGAGCAGCGAAATCCCCGTCCTGCTGGGCCTGGGGATCCGGAGAGCAGCCGGTTCAGCTTGGCTGGGCTCACAGGTCTGGGAGCCGTCGGACGGTTCCCACTAAGCCAACATCTGAGCCCCACGTGCTGGGTGGGGCTGGCTTTGCAGGGAGAGAACCAAGCGGGGTCTCCCCATCCCCCCACCCCCTTTGGCTTTGGAGCCCCCCGGATGGTGACAGCGGGGTGCAGCCAGGGCCTGGGACCAGCAGCCTCCTTCATGCTGGGACTGTCTCACCAGCGGCGCCACCAGCCAGCCGCGTTGATGCCACTGGGACTCGTGGGGGTGGGGGGGATTTTCTGAGTCAGGAAACATTTGATGAAAATAAAACTGTATCTTTAAAAAAAATCCAAATAAATGTCCCAAAAGGATTTTCCAAAGCGCTGTGGAGCCGCTGTGGGGGGAGGGTGTGGAATGAGAGAAGGAAAGAAAGTTGGATGGATGGATGTGTATGGAGGGAGGAAAATAGATAGATGGGGGGTGGCAATAGAGGGGGTGTATGGGGATAGATAGAGGGGGTGTATGGGGATAGATAGATAGGGGGGGGGTGGCGATAGATAGATAGAGGGGGTGTATGGTAGGGTGACCAGACAGCAAATGTGAAAAATCAGGATGGGGGTGGGGGGTAATATAAGAAAAAGACCCCAAAATTGGGACTGTCCCTATAAAATTGGGACATCTGGTCACCCTAGTGTATGGGGATAGATAGAGGGGGTGACTGTCTGGCGATAGATAGAGGGGGTGTACGGGGATGGATGTTAGATATGTCAGGGAATGGACGGATGGATGGATAAGTAGGTGTGTACAGCATTGGATGGATAGATTGGAGGGGTGCATGGGGATAGAGGGACGTGTATGGGGATGGCTGGATGGGTGTGTGGGGGCATGGATGGATGGTTACATAGGGGAGGAGTGGTACAGGGTGCACACCCTTGGCTGCTGGAGGGGTTGGGGTGGAGCCAGAGGGGGCGCTGTGCTAGCAGGTGGTGGCTGGTCCGTACGAGGTGGGTCTCGGACCCCATGCCTCCCTCTGTTTTCAGAAGAGGGGGTCTGGGCCTGTGGTTTTTGCTTCCCATCCCCTTTTGGGGGCTTAGATCCATGGTGGCCCCCATGTTAAGAACCCAGGGGCTCCCCCCATGGCAGGCTCAGCTGGCGGTGGAGACGGGGTGCTGGCAGGGGGCACTGTGTGGTGTGTTGGGGGGCATCTCTCCCTGCTGCTGCTGCCCCGGTACTGGGGTTACTATCTGGGCCAGCACCGGGCCTGGCTGGCATCTCAGCGTTAGTAGGTCAGGCAGCTAAAGTAGGGCAGTGCCAGCACCCCGAGGGCACCCGCGTCAGCAGCCATAATTGGCAGCGCGGGGGTGGGAGCGTCCGGTGCAGGCCACAGGGCTTGGGGGATGGGGTGGGGAGCGCCTGTGTGGGTCAAGGGGGCATCCCAACTCTGGAGGGGAAGGAGGGGTGGTGAGGCCCTGGGGATAGACAGAGGGGTACGTCCCACACAGCATACACAAAGTATCACACAGACACACAAAATACAGACAACACAACACACAGACCCAACAACCCCCTACACACAACAGCACAGAGAAAAAACACCATGTACACACACACACACACACAAACCAACACGCAAACGCACCAAACACTAGGCACACTCGTGCAAAATAGTACTGACAAATACACAACACAAAGGCACAACAACACACACACACACACAAAACAACACACTGTATGCAAAATACAGAC